TTTTGTGGCTTGAAAGCCAGCTGTATTTGATTGATGCTAGGGCTGGAAGTATTTATAAAATGACACTGAATTAGAAGTAGTCAGTTTATGAGTCTGGGGAAATGAATCTTTTATGAAGAATAAAACTTTATGATGAAGGAGTAATACCAGGGATGTATGCATCTTAAATTAAATTCATTTGGACTGCAGTCTACATTATAGATCTGTTTGCAATACGAGAAAAGTACATGTGTCCAAACCCAAGCCATCAGTCTTTACTTGCCTGCGTTTTTTGGGCAGTATAGTTCAAAATGTGATCATTTGATGTTGGGTTTCATCTCTAGTGTAGTTTAACATATATGCATACAAGCACTGTGATCATTCCAGACAGCTCCTTTGTTCAATACAGCACATAAAGTTACCAACTTTCAACAGGGAATGTGGAGACTATGCATTCTCTGAAAGCAGTAGAGACATTCAAGGAGGTGGTCAGAGTTAATGGGTTTGGCATCACTGTTAAGTTGAAATTTTTAAAGTGAAGTCCTCAACAATGAACTCCCAGGTTAGCTTGTATGTATATTCCCAAACTATCTTCCCTAATATATGTGAACAGGGTTCCTTCCTGGTTTGGCTACACAAGTCTTTCTAACAGCTTGTTTGGGCCTATTGATAGAGCTATTCTATATCCTTGTGCAGTAGGATTCCACAAGTGCTCTGAAGCACAGCTCTGCCAGGCAAATTCAGGCTCTGGGGACACATCAACATGAGCCATTTACTGTGGTATTTGCCTAATTAGCTCTGCAGTAAAACATCAGCGTCTACATGTGCAGTATGATTTGGCTGGAGTAAACTAATTAACTACACTATAGGATAGTACTGCCAGACACAAGTTTTACAATTTACTCTGCTCCACGGCACGTGTAGATGCTGACTGGGCTGGCTGGGGCACAAGGGTGCTTCAGTGCGGGGGCTGCTTGCCAGCTAGCCCCACACTGAAACACCTTCGTGCCCCAGATAGCCCCTCCCAGCATGTTGAGCCAGGTCGGAGCCACCCTGGAGTGGCAGGCTGACCCCTGGGGCCCCCTGCCAGCCAGGGCTGTTCTTTCCTACTTCAATATGCTGCAGTCCTGGGCGCAGCTGCAAAAGTGGCACCTGGGAACAATAAACTCCAGTGTGAACTGCGCTGGAGTTTATTCAACCACATTAAATTGCATGTGTATGCGTGTAGGGGTGTGTATGCGTGTAAGGGCCCCGTATGTGTGTAGGGGTATAGGTTGTAGCCGTGTTGGTCTAAGGACATAGGCAGACAAAGTTCTTTGGGTGAATCTGATATCTTTTATCAGACCAACTTCAATGGTTGGGGGGAAACATTTTTAACAAGCTTTTGAGTTTAAAAACCCTTTGTCAGGCTGAGGAAGCCTCTACAGTTGGTATGTGCTCTTCCTGGATGGAATGAATAGTAAAGAAGGCAGTGTGTGGGTATGAAGAAGCGATAAATATAGCAACATTTTACAGATAGTGATCTTGAAGTTGTATCAGTTATCACTGAACTTTAGAAAACCCCATGTATTTGGCTAATTTTCAATTTTTTTATGCCGACACTTAGAAGCAGTAACTGATGCTTAAATAGCACAGTGATGGCAATGGAATATGAACGTCTCGGGTTCCTTAGAAATAACTAAGGTAGAAACAAAACATCTTGGGTCTCTGCAGCTTTTTACCATCCATATCGGTGCAAAAAAAATGTAAAATGCTGGCGTCAAGATTTGGTAGAATATTACGCTCACTTTCTGTGGTGGAAGTGACTGCGTGATGTATTGTTTCCCTGCATGCTTGTTAAGATGAGGCATAGGAATCAGCAGTATTCACAAGAAATCTTAAGAGAACCATAGCTACTAGGACCTGCTTCATCACTGCATCACATCAATTTTATGCCAGTGTAATTGGAAATCTGGGGAGCTGTACTAGTGCTGAACTGGTGTGATAGAGCTTTGACAATTCTGCAGGCTGGGAGTTTCAGAAGAGCCTTTGTGAAGTATGAACCCAGATGCCAATGAATCTCAGTGGGCTCCTAATTCCTTTGGGTTCCTTTGAAGCACTCCTCCTTAATTGCTATTTATTTCTCTTGAATTTTTGTTGCTTGGGCAGTCTTTATGGCACATTCTCTCTAAGAGGAATAATAAGCCACCCATTTTGGAGTATAAAACCTAAAAACCTGCACAATCTATTTTAAGGTCTCTCTGCTTAGGAAATGAGAATGCCTTTTCTTTCTTCTGAGCAGAAAGTGACAATATTTTCCTTTTTTTGCTGAAGAAGTTGTGAACGAAGTGGGTGAAATATCAAGGCTAGGATCATTTTGTAATATTGGAAAACATGGCAAGGCATCCAGTGGTAAGCTTCTTTTTGAGCTGTCTGACCTTTAATCACTGGTGAATAAAACCAACATGCTGTCAGATCTCTGTTATATTTCTCAAGGGGATAACTCTGCCTGAAGTAGCAATGAAGCAAAACCTTTGAGAGCTTATATTCAAGGTCACTACAGCAAGAGGCATCACTTTGAGCTCTGAGAAAAAAAAAACAACAACAAAAGGGAAGGGGAAAAAGGCATTTCTGACCCAGTCGGTAGTTGCTTGTTGAACAGAATTCTAAGCTATTGTTATATCCTCTGACAAATGAAGCTGCCTCAAAACTTTTAGACAATACCCCATTGCTATTTGTTTGTTAAGTGTTCATTGTGACTTCAGCTATCCTTGAAGAACATTTGGGTTTTTTTTTTTCCATTGCTAAGACATGGGGAAATTCGTGGGGCAGAAATGACATGCATTACATGTATCCATCAGCTTCAGTCCTATCTTGTTACACACATGTAGTTAAACTCCATTGGTGCAGGGCTTGTTTGCATGACAGCGCTTCCCCGGTGTCACTGAAAGTCTGTTTTTAAACTCATTTAGTTACATCAGTGCAAAAGGCTCTGTGGACATCATGATAAGGATAGCTCCTTCGGGCATACAAACCTTTTATATAATGTAAAGTGTTATATTTCAAGCAAGTTTCATCTTAATGAGCTTAAAAGTAGCTCCCCCCATCTAAGCTTAGACCAGAATGGCAGAAGAAAGGGTTAGCTATTACATAAGAACTGAAATCTGAGAAGGAAGGTTTATAATTGGCTTTGAGGTTGCGGTTCAGACATTAGATGATTTGGTTTTCCGTTTTAAGCAATTTAAACTTAAATTACAGAGTTGATTGACTTCGGTAGATTGTTTTAGTTGGGATTTATAAGCCAAAGGACAGCCACCCTTTCCGACTCGCCTCTTGGAGCTTATGTAAGGATTGATAATATTTTTTAAATTAATTTGATGATTTCACTTCCTTCCAATCCTGAGATAATTTGTTTGATGCGTTGATTTGATTCTGATTGGGTAGTATTTTATTCTCCGCTTAGTTCAGAATCCTCACAAAAGCTAAGTTATAAGTAATAAGCTTTCTTCATTTAATTTCAGTTGGAAAGTTTTAATAACATGGAAAAATAAAATTGAAACCAAATTGAATTGATTTACTAAGTAACATGGGTCCAGAAACTTTGAAGACTGGGTTGAATAACTGGACAGCTTAAGTGCTTGACTACTTTCCCCTGTGTTTCCCACAATGCTTGGTGTGAAGTAAATGTGCAATTTGGTAGCAATGAGTAGAACTTTACACTGATTTCACATAGGGGAAAGGACTGCACAGCATATTATTTCTGTGGAAGGCTTTTATGATAATACTTAGCAATTATCAGCATTCACAAGAAAGGCTAGAGAACCATAGCTAAGATATAACAGTATATTCTAGGTAGACAGGTACTGAGAATAAGTTCCTCATGCCAAGGACAATTTGGGAGTAGAAGTATTTTAATCATGAGGCTGATATGGTAAATTTAGGATGTTGAAATTGAGATTAGAAAAGTACATGAATCCTATATAGCAGAGCAGTTAGTCACCCTAGGGTGCCCTGAGAGCCTTTCAGGGGTGCCTCAGGGTGCCAAGCAATGTTAGCACTTTTAGGAGTGCAAACATGAGTCTCAAGATAAAACTGGAGATTTCAAACAGGAATCCTTAGCTTTAAACACATTCTGATTTGTTGTGGTCTTTCTAAGTTCTTTGCAATAGGGGGATTGCTCTATCATTCTTCTGTCATCTAAAAACAAGTGACAACTAAGAGCTGGCATTTTCTGAAGGGTACATGGGTCTACCAAGGGGTGTCTTCGAGTCTAAAAAGGATTACCACTGTAGTAGAGTCTTTGATTAGAAGGTGCCTGACATCCAACCAACCCCTCAAATGTATGACTCTTTAAGACAAAAATAAGGGTGTACCCATATGCCAATATCATCTATGTTTGGTATAGTATCCTGGGTTGTTGGTTGTAGCTGCCTTGATCTGAGGACATGGGCAGACAAGGTCCTTTGGGTAGATGTAATATCTTTTGTTAGACTAACGACTAACTAAATAGTTGGAAAAATTGTTCGTTGCAAGCTTACAGGCACAAACACCTTTCTTTTTGGCATAGGAAGCACCAAGAAACTTTCCCTATGCTTGAAGAAAGGCGTGTGTGCTTGAAAGCTTGCAAAGAACAATTTTTCCAACTATTTAGTTGGTCTAATAAAACATATCACATCTACCCAAAGAACCTTGTCTGCTTATGGTATCCTCTAAATTTACACTCAAATAAACCATAACTATACACATTATTTTACTGGACTCATTGCATAAGTAGCATTGATGTGACTAGCAGTAAATCACAGTTTTGGGCTAGATACATTTGCCTTTTGTAGGGTAGAGATGCACAACTTTTGTTGCCACTCTTGCAACACAAGCGGTAACAGGAAGAAAAATGGACATGCTAAATACCAGATGAAAATCTTGTTGGCTTCCCTGAGCTGATGCTGGCTTACAGCCAGCAGTTCTCACATATGGAAATAGAGGTGTCACATCATTGATGTGAATAACCATATTATATTATGTTTGTCCCCCTCCTTTTTTAGGAACTATCGTGATGCGCATGACAGCCTTCGATGCTGATGACCCTTCCACAGATAATGCTCTGTTGAGGTATAATATCCTTAAACAGACCCCTGACAAGCCTTCTCCAAACATGTTCTACATTGATCCAGAGAAAGGAGACATTGTGACAGTGGTTTCACCTACGTTGTTGGACCGTGAGGTAAGTGAACGTTTCATCATTTCAAAGCGTATGCCTTGTCCATCCATTCTTCCATCATCAACGAAGCACATGAGCATCCATTTTTATGATACTTTTCTGTTGCATACTTTCTAATGGAAGTTGACATTATCGAAAAATTTACTGATGTGGAAATTTGCTCGATGAAGTTTGATATTACATATCACTTTTCTGACTTATGCATTAGGGTTTAGATACCATTCTCATCATGTGTGCATCAGGCAGTCCAGCAATTGTAGGTGATGCTTTTGGATGTGGTAGAATTTCCTCTTGCATAATAAAGGACAAAACAATTCACAAAAATACACCAGCATTTAGAATTTAAAGCTCTAGTCATCCATTGGTTATTTTTTCTTATCCGGTCTTTTATGAAATTATGGGGTGGGGAGAGGTGGGATGGCCTTTTTAAAAGCCGTCCTGTCTTGCTGGATGAATTTCATGAAGGAATACTTAATTCCTATCATCAAAAACCAAGTGCCACCTCTTCCTGCCATAGAAAAGTAATTTGAAAGGGCCAGATGGGCTGTTTGGTTTTGTTTTTTAAGGTGAGCAATTAGGATACATTATTTTTGGACTTTTGTTGCTGTCCTTTAACATTCTGAAAGCTCAAATTCCTCCAACAACTATATCAAGTGACATTCAGAGTAGTTCTACTCAATCCATTTTTACCGCTGTGGTCCATTATTAACAGAAGCAAAAGCTAATATCTGCAATAATTGTAGATAAGTATCAGCTTCCCTCCATAAGCAGAGGACCTCAGGTTCCCAACCTTTCCACCATTTTCTGAAGTCCATTTAGGCATTTTTATTCCTAATGGGTAAACAACCCCAAGATAAAAACAATTTACTGGAAATTGGAAAATCGATGGAAGAAATGAACAATCCTTCCTTTCCTGGTATGTTCCTAAGGTCACTCGTGATACGTGAAATAATAATGCTATTTACATACAAGGAATCTGTTCAAGATCAAATGAGATTTCTGCTTCTCAGCATATCCAGTAGCAGGATTTGAACTCCCTGTGATCTCCTAATGATATTTGATTCGATATCTTTGTCTGGAAGGTATCATAATTCAATCGCAGTGGAGATTGTTGTCGTTGCTGTATATAGTGACTGTTTTAATAAGCAAGTGGGACCGATACAAAACTTCTATGCTGTAACAGTGTTATCTGCGTTTCATTATTCAAACTTGAATAGCACATATTAACTTCAACACAAAGTTAACAGTTATCTGCATTTAGGTTTCGACATAACATTGAATATTCAGGACATAGGCTGATCAATCTTCTGTAGCCTTCTTTCCTGAAGGTCGGTGGTCTCTGACAGTTACCATTATATGAATAATTTTGAATGAGCCAGGGCTATGCCCATATATTTTTCCTGCTTACAAAGCTAACTCACAGTAAAAGGAATTTCTGTCCCTTTGGAGCAATACAGCTGAGGCACTCTTGGTTTTTTTCAGTCCAAATCCTCTTTCCTGCTTAATGCCAAGGTATATCCATGCCACTTTCTCCCAGGAAGAACCTTCTAGGATGCTGGTGAAGTAGTGGATAAGAGTCGGTCCTGTTTTTCACTCCCTTGTTGAATTAAGTTGCAGTGCTTTTTGTATTGCTTACTTGCATTGCTGTATTTTGTCTGAGCCATTATTATAGATCAGGGCACCTTTGAACTCAATGTTACAAACAGAGCACAAAAAAATAGCCCGTTTCCAAGGGACAAAACAAAGAGATAAAAACAGGCTGATGGCCAGGGAGGAGAAGGCAGTCTTGGGTTAGCAGAATGGTCAGAAGTCTCAACCCACTGGTAACCCAACTCCCTTTAAGACTGTTATGGGCACAATGGCAAAAAAAATGTTTTGAGCCAAGTTTCGAAGGTGGCCAATGAGTGAGCTCCCTGCATACAGGGAACACAATGGCTGCAAAGCAGTCCCTATGATGATTTTGGGGGTCAGTTGCCCTCTCCAAAGAATATGGGTGCTGAGGGATAGGGTTTGCAGGTGAGTTGCTCAGAGTTGGAGATGCACTCAGAATTTGCAGGTGGAAACCCCGCAAGGCAGCTTCCTGTTGAAACTGGTATGTGATGTCTCAAGGTTGAAAAATCCCCAAATTTCAGGAGAACTGTGAAATAACACAAAGGAACCAATTGTTTCTTAGAAATCTAACCTGAAAACACAATATAGCTGCTGTGCCAAATCTTTAGTTACAAGAAGCCCAACAGAGAGTTGATATGTATCTTTCTCTTTTCTTTTTTTTTTTAATTGCATATTTCCTCATCTGAAACACAAAGCACAATTACCAATCAATAGGGAATATTCTCAGTTGCTTTGTGTGTGTTTGTGTGTTGAAAAACGTGCTGGTCCTGGAAAGCAACTGGGGAAACAGTAGTTGAATTTAAGGTAAAAATATGAGAAGGCTGAGACGGGAGTCAAAAAAAAAAAAGTCTAGTTCTCATTATTCAAATATGCATTCTCTGGAAGTTGATATAAACTGTTTTAAAGCAACTGTGTTAAAGCGCTGATCAAAGTTACCCCATGTTTTCCGGCTCTTTTATTAATTTTAGCCATTGCTTAGATGTATATGCTTATGGGAAGCCTTCCAGTTGACTTAAGCTAAATTGACAGAATGTAAATTGCTAATTTTTTATTTTAAGTTTAGTTTCTTTCATGTTTGTGTATCATAGAGAACAGGAAGCTGAGGATATTGCCCAAGGGGGGATATGGAGATGTAGAGGTACAAGGCATCTGGCAGTTTTTGATTTCCCTTTTGAACATAAGCAGTAACCCATATTATTTTTTCATGCTTCTACATTTTAAGAGGAGCTGCTGTGAGACAGCACTGGGAATTCTTGTTCCTAGGCAGAGATTCAAGATCCAGGTATTCACCCTAAAATGAAACAAAGTCAAGCAGGGTGGAGAGCTCAGCTTTATAGCTGAGTAAACATATCTGGGTGAATGATCGGCTCACAATGGAAGGGCAAACCATTATGTTAATATGCATTTCAAGGAGATAAATATTAATAAATCTTGTTGGCTGGTAATTACTCCAAAAAATAAAAAGAAAGTTTTAAAAGGGGCACTTAGGTGTTTTTGTTTTTTTTTAAATTTCTGATTGGCTACCAGCTCAACCCAGAAAAGGGTGCATTTTTTTTTTTTGTCCGTGCACGCTTTGCTCCAAATGCAGACTAGTTCAGGTAATGTTCTAAAACTTTTAGAAAGCTGTCATTAAAAATCAGGCAGTTTTGAGACTTTCCATTAACTGGGATTGTGAATGAGGGAAGGCCAAAAGGAAAGCGAAGTATTCTTCTCGCCTGGAGGTGATTCCAGAGCTACTCCGTGAATCAGTTAACAGGAAGATTTTGTGCAGTTACAATAATCAACCTCTCTTTTGTTGTCAAGTGTCCAGAAATTGCAATGCTCCTATCCTTTGGTATCTGGAGGTAAGAGGTTTGATGCTGCTGTGAGCTTAGGTGTCCTATACTAATGTTCTTTTTACAGAGCTCTAGGCTGTATGTAATTTCATGTTCAGTCATCACAGTGCAGGAGTGGTATCATTATAGTATCGAACAGTATTGTTGGTCAGTGTTTGAGGGTCAGGCCTAATTCCCTTGAAAGCTGATTGGACTTTTCTACTTGGACTTCAGTACGAGATGGATTGTAGGGCTGTGCAAAGCTTTGGGTAGTGATTCGATTCGGAAGAGATTCGGCCCGATTTGGTGGCCAAATCCCCGAATCTGAATCAATTCAGGGGACCAATTTAAAGGTCTGAATCAATTCAAAGCTCTCCAAATCTTCAGAAAATATTCAGAGAGCTTTGATTCAGGAAGTCCCCAGTGGCTGCAGCAGGGAGCTGCAGCCATCTTCCCGCTGGTAAGTACTTGGGTGGGGGGAGAGGGGGCTGGGGGAGGGGACCCTGGTGGGAATCAAATTGGGACAGTGATTCAAATCACTGAATCGAATCACTGTTCCCCAAATCGGCTGAATTCAAATCCAAAGCGAATACTAGCTGCTTCACAGAGGCCTAATGGATTGTGCTCTTAGTTAATTTGTTTAATGTTGTTTCTCAGTGAATATGTATGAACTTCAGGGGAGTTCTAGCCCAGGAAAGTAGGGGCATCTGGACTGAAGGTCTCGGTGTAGACCTGTTTCCATAGTACACCTCCATATGCAACAGTAATAAATGGGAAAAGATGTTTTTCAGTTGTCAGAAAAAAGTACAATGTGTATTTTGCATTAAGCTCATCTGGCGACCCACTGAGCACTTTCAACTCTCATCATTTTCTGGAGAGGGACTTTAGAAGAATGGTTTAGCAACTTTCAGGATGACTGTGGCTCAAGTCTATCAGCACGTATTTTATTTATGTATTTTTAAGATTCAAGCTGGCTTCCAAAACTGGCATGCTCCTTAGAGTTTGCAGCAAAACTCCAATAATTTACAGAAGAATATCCATTTTCATTTTAAGAAGGCATGTAAGGACATATTATTGAAGATTTATGTGCATTTTTTTTCTTGAGGGAGTTAAGCATCCTTGAATATGTCGGAGATGAAGATTGAAGAGTGCTAGGGGGCAAATTATTTCCCCAAACATCCATTGGAGAATTCATTTTGATTAATAGATTCAGAGCAGAAAGACACCCTGTACCAAAAGCGTACGGTGTAAATGACCCAAAATAGAACACAG